AAGGAGGACAAGCAGAAACTCATCCAGAAATACAAGGATGGCATGGGGTATACAGCCTGCTTCCTGATGCTTGAAATAACATCAACTTTAACATTGTCTAAAAGTCCTGCAGAACAGTTTAAAAACACACAGGAAACATGAAAAGTATCATTCATGCAAGATTTAGGTGCAGGAAGAAACAAATTAAATCAAAGTTTTTGAATAAATAGAAAAAGGCTTTTCTATTTAAACCTTTCCCATATATTAAAGCACCATTTGCTCCCAAATGCCTGTTATTTGGCTTTGGAAATGGTCTGTTATGTTTGCAGTTCCTGAAGTATGCTGGGTTATTTATCCTCAGCTTATCAGGACTGGGCTTAACAGACTCCCAGACAGGAAGGCAGGGCTGAACTCAGCTGCAAGACTAAGGCTATGTTCACACTGCAGGCCTCAATTCACATTTTTGTGTGAAATCTGATTGTTTTTATATATATATATATATATATATATATATATATATATATATAAAATATTTTGAAAGGGACGGTGTACATTAATAAACGTTCCTGTAAATGCAGCAGAATTAGCCAAAAGGCTATTTTTCAAAGCCATTTTAAGATCCTGGAAAGATCTTAAAATTGTCTAAACCTAAAAACACAACAGTTAAAAATCTGAATATAAAAACAGCTAGAACTCTTCAAAACTTGTTTAAAAATACAGAATTAATGTTGTGTAGACTTCAGATTTTAGGTAAATAAAATAGAATAAAACCTTAAATTAAGCTGCTTTTTGAAAGGAGTCAATTTTTTGAGTTCTCTGATGTTCAGAGTTCCACTCTGTCCCTTCTATGGTTAAAATGGTTAAACATTCATTCAAGTAAACATGGATGGTAGCGCTGGAGCCCATCTAGCAATCTTTCCCAACTTTAACAACTCAATCTTTTCAAGATGGTTAAACATAAACCTGCTCTCTGCATCATCGTCCACCATGATTGTTTTTCTTCCTCCTTCTGCGTAGCAAGGCGTAGAATAGTGGTTTTTGTCGGGTATTAATGGCATTCAGGTCGGATGAATGCGACCTTCGGGTTATCCGACCTGAACGCCGCGACAGGTTGCATCTGAAACGATCAGATTCATATCGGATTCAGAACCACAGAGCCAAGTGGCCTGGGTCACATTGGAAAACATCCGATCTGTGTTGTTCAGACTGTCATGAAAAGATCAGACCCAGGTGGCATCTGGGCAAATGAATTGGATTTGGGTGACTTCAGGCTGCTGTGTGAACGCAGCCACAGTCCCTCCAGCCTGTCCTGGGCTTTCTCCCAGTGGAACGAGCTCCTCCCACAGGAGGCATGTAAAAAAGATATCTGAGCCACCTAAGCTCACTCCTCTGGTGGAAGCTGACCCCCCCTCCCTGTTAAAAAGCTCATTTCAGCCGCCTACTTGCTGGCTCTTCTTCTTCTGGTCATGACTCAGATTTATTGCTGTAGCTGAGAGTAGAGCTTAAAAATATCAGTTTAGGCAACTGGATGTGACGTTTGGCCTCGTATCCAAGAGGCTTCTTCCTCTCACCCCATGCAGGGGCGGATTTAGGTCATTTGGGGCCCTAGGCAAAGACAGACGGGGGGCCCTCTGAATTGAGGTCCAAACAGACAGCAGCAAACCATTTAAAAACAAACCATGCAAAGAGCAGTGTTGCTAACTTAGCGCTTTAGTCGCTATATTTAGCCACTTTTCAGACCCCTCTAGCACTTTGATTTCTATAAAGCTCCTAGCGCCAAATCTAGAGACTTTTTTCTGCTACTGGAGACTTTGGAGACAACATCTAAAAGCAGCGAACTCTGCTCTCCAGAGCCAGTAGATTGGTAACCCCGCCTCCTGCTCTCCTCTATCTTGTCTGCTGTCATGATTCATGCAGCTATTATTTCATCCAAATGAAAAATGGAGAACAGAGAAGCAGATCATGGCTTGTCTACAGTGAAAAGAAGGACTGGGTTATTTACTTTGGCCTTTTTGGAAACACAGGAAGGAGCAATCAGCTAAGTGAGCTTAGTGCTTGGAAACAATCTTTCATTCCTTTAGAGACAGCATGAAAAGTCAGCTGAGTACAAAACATAGAGAGGAAAACAAGAAGAAAAGGGACAAGAAGAGAGGGACACAACCTAGAACAGATAATGGATGTCTATTCTATTAACATGTCTCTATCTGGAGAATGGGTCTGTTCTATGTGTCGTCTTCTCAGTTCAGAGGGCCCCCTGCCTGTCTTTGCCTAGGGCCCCACATTTCCTAAATCTGGCCCTGCTTCATTTTTTTTTCTTACTTCTGTGTTTGAGTGGCCATCTTTATTTTCTTGCCTCCAGGAGTAAACCATGTCGATATTTTGATGAGGGCCGTGGAACTTGTCCTTTCGGCTCCAACTGCTTCTACAAACACGCCTTCCCTGATGGACGTCTAGAGGAAGCTCAGCCCCAGAGAAGACAGACCGGCTCCAACAACAGGAACCGGGTAATGCCTCACATTTTACTTTCTTCTACCAGCCTGATGACGCGTCGTAATAACTGTTCCGTTTCTTAGAACTCGAGGCGGACGCCACTGTGGGACATCTTCGATGATAGCGCAGACTCCTTTGACAACGACGATGAGGAGATGGTGACGTTCGAGCTGAGTGAAATGCTTCTCATGCTGCTCGCAGCAGGAACCGACGACGAAGTGACGGATTCAGAGGACGAATGGGACTTGTTTCATGAGGAACTAGATGATTTCTATGAGATTTACCTATAGCGGCTCCCTCCTTAATCACCACTACCCATATATTCTAGCCATTAGAATGGACTGTCTCGTGAGTGATGGACAGTAGCTTCCCCCTGTATTGTGGCAGTGCCTTTAAGCAGGCCATCAATAAATGAACTTATAAAAACTTTAAAAAAATCCACCTCTGTGCGCTCGTGCTAAACATTTTATAGACCTCTATCTTTGTGAGTTTTCCTGTGTGGTTTATTAAAATACAAAAGGACAAAAATAAGTCGATATAAAAGCTAATTAAAGTAACAGTGTGGAGATATTGCAGAAACTTTGTCCAGTTTGTTCGTGGATTTGACTTCTTTATCCAGGTATTTGTACATAATTCTGAGACTCTGCACCCAAACTTTCTCAGCACCGTTTACTGTAACTCAGATGGGCATGTTGTATGATTTTACAAATGGTTGTTGAAGGCCGGGACTTCTTTTCCGTCTGTTAATAAAAGCTGCTGATGTTTAATAAATTTACCATTACCACTTCCTGCTGCGTTGGTGTGGTCTGCTGCTTTAGTTTAGCGTGTCTGTGGTTAAAATCCAGTCATGATGATGGACTGTTCAGGTTAGGCTTCTCTAAAGCGAAGCAAAGCTTTTACAAGAAAAAATTCAGATTTTTATTTGATCAACAGCTGATACCGCACCGTGACGTCACTAACCAGTAGGTGGCAGTAGTGTTCTTTGACAAACATGGATGCCTCCAGTAAAGCACATTCACATGAAAATTACTCTGAATTAAAAACACTGATCATTTATTGAACAGGATGGAATCATTTAATATTTAAAGAACTTTCAGAAGTTTGAATTCTGAATATGAGCGGAATTTTCCTTTAAAAACACTTTCGTAGAAGGTGGAGGTTCAGCTTTAGCTTTTTACTCCAGTAAAAGTACCATTTTTAAAACTACTTAAAGTATAAAAGTAAAGCAAGAAAAACTTTTATGGCCACAACTTGCAGGTAAATGAATTTCTTCCCATGTTAAGGAGGGGAACGGATTATTTCTGTTTACTGAAATAATCTGTTCCCCTCCTTTAATTTTTGCAAATACAGAGTAAATATGACCAAATCCATGGGATTTGTTCTTGGTGGTGAGAGGAATAAATACAGTTAAAGACTTTAAGGTGATTAAATTTCTTCCCATGTTATGGAGGGGAACAGATAATTTCAGGCAGCTGAATGTTCATTCTCTCCTCTGCTCCTCCCATATCTTTGGGAAATACAGAACAACTGTTTCCAGTTTCTCTATTGATGTGTGATATGTTATACTAGAAATGTCCTTAATCCAGTAATCTGTCATATTTTACATTAGAAGGGGATTAACCAGAAATTCTTCTCTCTCATCTTCGCAGGACGTCTTAATTTGTGCCCTGCTATCAGCCACTTTCCATCCTCTTATATCAGCATTGAAAAATTAAAAATTGACAATCTGTGTTTGGTGACTGACATTTATTTCTGTCAGACTGAAGTGACAAAAGTTGGAGAAATATTGATTCTCTTGGCGTTTAAAAAAACAACACAAAACAGCAAAAGAAGACCTTGTTAATTTGTATTTATTTTTCAAATTTGTAAAAAGAGCAACTGATTAAACTGTATGTTAGAAAGTTGACATGATTATATGAGCTGTTTTCACTGGGAAATGATCAGGAGTATGGAAGCAAATCGTTACCATATTTCAAATGAAAAAGCATTTTCAGAAATGCTTTTTCATTTTAAGAATGTGGCTTCATTGTTTGACTTATAAATGAAATTAGTAATTATTCATCCTGTTTGCATTTGCTTCTATAACACTGCACATTTTATGCCATAATCAAGGAGAAAACACAGCGGACATTGCTTTTTCGTTTTCGAGTTATGGACAGTACTTTGCTGGCAGAACATAAGAAACAAAAAAGCAATGTCCGCTCTGTTTTCACTTTGATTATGGCATAAAATGTGCAGTCTTTAAGAAGAAAATGCAGATGCAAAATGCAGCCACATTCTTAAAATGAAAAAGCATTTCTGGAAATGCTTTTTCATTTTCAAATTTTACATTTCAAATTGAATTTTGGTATGTATTTGCTGGGGTACATTTTGAAAAATAAATCTCAAATGTCTTTTCCATTTTAATTAAATTAAAGGATCAGCAGTCTTGAAGAAGAAAAATAAAATGCAAATTGGATGACTGATTATTAATTTCATTTATGAGTCAAACAATGCAGCCACATTCTTAAAATGAAAAAGCATTTCTGAAAATGCCTTTTCCTTCGAAATATGTTAACGATTTGCTTCCATACAGGAGCGCCTTGAAAATGGTCAGATCCGCCTCTCTGGCTGCAATGCGCGCTCCCGACACAGGGAAACAGAATTTCGCTCCTGCAGCCTCCGCCCTCCGCTCCTCTCCTGCAGCTCCTGCAGCCTCCGCCCTCTGCTCCTCTCCTGGAGCTCCTGCAGCCTCCACCCTCTGCTCCTCTCCTGCAGCCTCCGCCCTCTGCTCCTCTCCTGGAGCTCCTGCAGCCTCCGCCCTCCGCTCCTCTCCTGGAGCTCCTGCAGCCTCCACCCTCTGCTCCTCTCCTGGAGCTCCTGCAGCCTCCACCCTCTGCTCCTCTCCTGCAGCCTCCGCCCTCTGCTCCTCTCCTGGAGCTCCTGCAGCCTCCGCCCTCCGCTCCTCTCCTGGAGCTCCTGCAGCCTCCACCCTCTGCTCCTCTCCTGGAGCTCCTGCAGCCTCCACCCTCTGCTCCTCTCCTGGAGCTCCTGCAGCCTCCGCCCTCTGCTCCTCTCCTGGAGCTCCTGCAGCCTCCGCCCTCCGCTCCTCTCCTGGAGCTCCTGCAGCCTCCACCCTCTGCTCCTCTCCTGGAGCTCCTGCAGCCTCCGCCCTCTGCTCCTCTCCTGGAGCTCCTGCAGCCTCCGCCCTCCGCTCCTCTCCTGGAGCTCCTGCAGCCTCCACCCTCTGCTCCTCTCCTGCAGCCTCCGCCCTCTGCTCCTTTCTTGGAGCTCCTGCAGCCTCCACCCTCTGCTCCTTTCTTGGAGCTCCTGCAGCCTCCACCCTCCGCTCCTCTCCTGCAGCCTCCACCCTCCGCTCCTCTCCTCATCATGACATCCGGCGCTCCGCTGCTGGCGCACAGACCCAGGAGGAGCCTGCTCTACAAGGCGCTCTGCTTTCTCCTCCTCTTCTTCCAGGGCGGCATCTTGGACTTCTACCTCATCCTCTTCACCGACCTGTACTGGTGCTCCTGGATCGCCACGGACCTGGTGGTGATCTGCGGCTGGGGGGTTTTCTTCCTGAGGAACGCCCGGAGCCAGAGGGAGCGCGCCTGCGGGTTCCACCTGAAGGGCTCCAGCTCCGGCTGCAGCCTGGGAGAGTTCACCTACGCCTACCTGGCCTGGCTCATCTACGGCATCGCCTGCGCCCCGAAGGTGGTGGTGATCCTGGAGACCTCCATCCTGGAGCAGATCGCGCTGCAGGTGCCCTGCGGGGTGACCGGCTTTAAGGTGACGGTGCTGCTGTCGGTGCCGCTGCTCTTCTGCCTCATCAGCTCCATCGTGGTGCATGTGAACGGGCCGAGCCACCACCGCTCCCACAGCTGCTTCACCACCACCTGCCTGGACCTGCTGGACAGCTTCACGCTGCTGGAGATGCTCCTCCGAGGGGAGGTGCCCTCCGTCTACCTGAAGTACACCGTCATCAGCGCCTACTTCGTGGCCCTGGGGGCCCCGGTGGTGTGGCTCTATGAGCTGAGCGCGGCGGAGCTCCGCTGCCGGTGGCTGTGGGCCCGCTTCTCCACCGGGCTGCTGGTCAACGCCCCGCTGCTGGTGGTGCGCTGCTTCCAGGTCTTTGTTTACAGGATGCCGGTGTCGGTCTTCATGTTTAAGAACGTCTTCCTGCTGCTGTGCGGCCTGCTGGAGCTGCTGGAGCAGTGCGCAGCGCTGCGGGGCCTGCCAAAGCGGACTGGAACCAGCAACCCTTCCCAGTTCTCCCACTGCGTGTCCGACAGCGACATGAATCCCCACGGATACGTCAACACCCTGGCCGTCACTCAGTCCTAGGGGCCCGCGCGGGGACCGGGAGGGGAAGGAGGCCCCATGGGGCCCCCATGGGGCCCCGCATGGACAGTTAGGCAGGCAACAGTTGATAATTGAGGGTTATTTAGCTTTTTTTTTTCAAGAGAAAAATAAGTTGTTGTTTTCAGGTCATTTTCAATTCTATTCCCTTTATTTCTATAGTTTCACAACACAAGTCATCCCAGGTCACTTTACAGTTCAACCAGATCATCCAGTCAGATTGATTCAAAGTTTTCTATCTAAGGAAAACCAGCTGATTGCATCGACTCATTGACTCTTCAGCAATCCCTCACACTAAGCATGCATGCAGTGACAGTGGAGAGGAAAAACTCCCTTTTAACAGGAAGAAACCTCCAGCAGAACCAGGCTCAGTGTGAGCGGCCATCTGCTGAGGCCCACTGGGGTTCAAGGAGACAGAAGCAGACATAGAAAAGGAAGCATAGATACAAAAGGCAACAGCGATCCAGGAATGGAAGTAGGAAGAAAAACTCCCTTTTTTATATTAAATATTTTAAATTAATATATATATATATATATATATTAATTATATTTAATTTGTTAAATAAATATTGAGTTTTGAGCTAAATATTTATTTAACAAATTAGATATTTAGTTTTGAAGATAAATATTTAGCTTGCTGGCAATTTATAATGGGTAATGGGCAATTTCTAGCTGACAATCTAAATATTTAGTTTGGAAATTAGATTTACTATAAATGTATGAGTGACATAGTGAAAAAATTACTTGGAAAAAAATAACTTATTGTTCTCTTAAAACTAAAGAACCTTAAATATTGCTCCTAATTTCGAACTGCCTAACTTTACAAACAACGCCCCATAAATGTAGTCTTAAAGCTGCGAGTCCTGGCGGTGAGTATGTGGTTCCACCAAACACATGTCCATTGTGAAAATGTCTACAGGCTCCTTTAAAGTGACTAATTAATAGAAATACAGTAAAAATATTAACTTGCTAGATGTTTAATATCTGTCCTGGACTGACCTGGAGGTGCTGATCTGGTTGGTTCTGGTCCAGATTAAAATGATTCTGGTTCTGTTTGGAGCAAAATGCCGTTACTGCTCATCTGGACCAAAGGAACCTCCTGAAAACCTGTCTGTTAAATGATTTTCTACCTTAAGGCTTTTATTTTGGAGCAGTCTGTTCAGATTAAACCGGTGCTGTAGAATAGGAACACATGTTCTGTATCTTGTTGACTTTTGGACCCAGAGACAAAAAACTGTTCTGCTCGCCTCATGTTGAGCCACGTTCCAGTCCTCTGTGCTGAAACAGAAACAGAGTCAAATAGGTGTGACTGTTCTAATCATGTGCTTTAACACTCAGCGGTGCCCTAACTTAGACAGACTTAGATTTTATTTTGTCTTTTTGTACACAAGTTTAAACAAAAAGTAATTTCTTTAAGAACAGCTCTCTAGACTATTTCATTTTTTTTAAAGTGCAGCTTTAATAAGCAGCAGTGATAAAAACATTGTGATGAAACTGCTGTTATAGCCAGGGGTGGATTTAGGAAATATAGGGCCCTAGGCAAGGACAGGCAGGGGCCCCTCTGAACTGAGAAGACAACACATAGAACAGCCCCATTCTCCAGATAGAGAAATGTTAATAGAATAGAAATCCATTATCTGTTCTAGGTTGTGTCCCTCTCTTCTTGTCCCTTTTCTTCTTGTTTTCCTCTCTATGTTTTGTACTCAGCTGACTTTTCATGCTGTCTCTAAAGGAATGAAAGATTTTTTCCAAGCACTAAGCTCACTTAGCTGATTGCTCCTTCCTGTGTTTCCAAAAAGGCCAAAGTAAATAACCCAGTCCTTCTTTTCACTGTAGACAAGCCATGATCTGCTTCTCTGTTCTCCATTTTTCATTTGGATGAAATAATAGCTGCATGAATCATGACAGCAGACAAGATAGAGGAGAGCAGGAGGCGGGGTTATCAATGTACTCGCTCTGGAGAGCAGAGTTCGCTGCTTTTAGATGCTGTCTCCAAAGTCTCCAGTAGCAGAAAAAAGTCTCTAGATTTGGCGCTAGGAGCTTTTTAGAAATCAAAGTGCTAGAGGGGTCTGAAAAGTGGCTAAATATAGCGACTAAAGCGCTAAGTTAGCAACACTGCTCTTTGCATGGTTTGTTTTCAAATGGTTTGCTGCTGTCTGTTTGGACCTTTCTGAACATGTGCAGCAAATGGACTGATCCAATATGGTGGACACTGAAGGGGGGGGCTGAGACACACTTAATATTATCAGCGCTCTGATGGCATTTTTGCCAAAGGATTTTTATCAAAAACATAATAATTGTGGACAAATAAGGAATAGTTGTATTAACCATACATGGAAACAGTTTATGGGGCCCCCAGGAACTTGGAGCCCTAGGAACCTGCCTGGTATTGTCTAGTGGTAAATCCCCCCCTGGTTATAGCGATATAAGCTTTTTATTTTTTTCTGTGGATGTAACTGGCTGGACCAATGATTTACTCCTTCTGTAATTTCTTTTATAACTAAAATGTATTTATGTTGTACATCTCTGTTAATAAAAGGCGCTTTATATAAACTTTAAGGTTTAGAAGAAAGGCTTTTTTTCAGGGATTATAAACTAAGATTATCCATCTGGAGGCTTTCAGTGTTTGTCTCCTCAGCTCTGCTGCTCTGCTGATTTTCCAGGAATGTGACGTTCCTTTCAGAGAACGAAGCAGCTGATGCTGCTTTTATTCCCAGTAGAGTCACTTCAAATGTTATTTTTGATGGTTGTGGCAAATAAAAGTATTCACCAGTCTTTACAATTTTACTTGTTCATATGAAAAATAAAGTGATCTGATGGGAGAAACAAGGAGCATTTAAAGTTGACATTCAAAATAAAAATGATTGATTCATAACGGTGGCAGTTAATGTGTCATTTATGCAGCAGGGATGTTTAATTCATGCCTCTCAGTTTTCACATAAAATACTTTATTTGTTTTGTGATTACATAGACCTATCCTTCAGCAGCAGGTTGTTTTATCGAAACAAAATCCTTATTTTTGTTGTTCTTTTCGCTTATAAAAACCTGTTTGGGGAAAATTTGTCATTTATTTCTTATTCCCACAAAAACTCTGACATTTTTCCTCAGACCAAAGGGATTTTTTTGTTGTTGCTAAAAGCATAAATTGAAGGCAATCAAACTTCACTGGTCGGCTTTTATTAAAACAATATTTACGATGTGAATTATGCAATTTTGCTTTATGAAAATGATCAAACACCAGAGGTGGATAGTCCAGATCCGGAAAGAAAAATCCCTGCCTTGTTTTCCTGCATCCCGGTTAATTCAGCAGCTGATCTTCATTTTCCTGGGTTATCTGCCTCTGTCAAAAATAAACCAAAGAAGGATAATCAGAGTTTTCAGGGAGATGGAAGGTCATGCGGCCTCATAAGCTGGTGATGAAGCAGAGCTGAGTGTTTTAGTGTAGGTGGCTGAGAAAGATAAACAGGGAAATCTAGAACCGCAGCTCTGCTTCTGTTTCATTTGGGCTGCGTCACACATTGGATCTCTGATGGACCAATGAGACGAAACGTTCCTCCATACGGACACACACCTAGCCTTAGCTTTCATCAGTTTTGATGTGCTAACATGATCGTACAGAAAACCTTTAGCATTTCTTCCACATTTTTGGGCAGTAAGCCTGCAGCAGCAGTCAGGGTGCCCAGGTCTAAGGCTGTGGTTTGGGGTCACAGTGACACACAGGAACAAAGGGTCTAGTTTGATGCCAGATCTGGTTCTTCACAGGCTAAGTTCTGATCAAATCCAACCAGGTCAAATCTGGTTTCACTGCAAGGATAACCTGCTAAAGGGAGACAATACCCTGGATGTGGAAGCGCTAACTTGGCTTTCAGAATGAGTATAACTGCAAACTACCAGTTGATTGCATCGACTCATTGACTCTTCAGCAATCCCTCACACTAAGCATGCTTGTAGCGACAGTGGAGAGGAAAAATTTTCTTTTAACTTAGACTTAGAGACTTAGACAGATTTTATTTCGTCATTTTGCACAAGTGTAAACAAAATAAATTTGGTTAAGCTCTCTAGACTATTTCATTTTTTTCAAGTGCAGCCATGATAAGGTAAGCAGCAGTGATAAAAACATTGTGATGAAAACCAGTGATGCAAACATATGACTGTATAGTTACAGTTCTAACATTCAGGTTTTTTTTTAATAACCCATTTCTACAAAACATTCATCAGTGTAATGGCGGTGGGGAAGGAAGCTGCTGCAGAACCTGCTGGTCCTGCATTGAATGCTGTGAAGCCTCTTCCCAGAGGGCAGCAGGGAGAACAGTCCATGGTGGGGGGGGTGAGGGGTCATTGATGATGTCACGGGCTCTGGACACGCAGCGCTGGGATGAAATGTCTTTAATGGAGGGAAGAGGAGCCCCCATGATCCTCTCTGCTGTTCTCACCTTCTTCCAGTCTGAGGCGCTGCAGCCTCCACACCACACAGTGAGACAGCTGCTCAGAACGCTCTCTATGGTGCTTCTGGAGAAGGTGGGGAGGATGGGTGGGTGGGTGTTGGGGGGGGGGGGGGGGGGGGGGGTCTCTCCTCATCCTCTACAGGAAGTCCAAGCGCTTCTGGGCCCTTTTGACCAGTGAGGTGGTGTTTCCAGTCCAGGTGAGGGTGTCTGTGATGAATGTGGTGCTGCTGACCACCTCTACAGCTGAGCTGTTGATGAGCAGTGGAGCGTGGTTAGGACGGTTCTTCCTGAAGTCCACCATGATCTCCTTGGTCTTCTCCACCTTCAGGATCAGGCTGTTATCTCTGCTCCACCAGCTGCTCCACCTCCTCTCTGTAGTCCAGGTCGTTGTCGTCTCTGATGAGGCCCACCACCGTGGTGTCGTCTGCAAACTTCACCATGTGATTGGTCCATGTGATCAGTCAGTGTCATCAGGGTGAACAGCAGGGGGCTCAGGAAGCAGCCCTGAGGTGAGGGGCTTAGACTGATGACATCAGAGGTGTGCTGTCTGACCAGGACTGACTGAGGTCTGTTGGTGAGGAAGTCTAGCAGCCAATAGCAGAGGGGTGTATTGAAGCCCAGCTGTTCCAGTTTGCCCATCAGATGCTGTGGGATGATGGTGTTTCTGTAAAAATTCAAAAAAATATCCACTGGGCTTGGTTTTCAAGATTTGAAGATGTTTCTCCACCTCTCCAGGAAGCTTTCTCAATTCAAATGTCTGGA